CGCCTCAGTCGCCGCCGCCGCCGCGGTCCGGCCCGTGAAGCCGCCCCCCGCGACCCGCAAGCCGGGCGCGCCCGTTCCGGCTCCGAAGCTTCCGCCTTCCCAGCGCGCGCGGGCACAGCGCGGGTCCCCTGGGGACGGGGCTCGACCGAGGTCGCCGGCGGCAGGGCTGGGGATCCTGCCGTGACTTCATTCTTTCGTTCCAGCAAGCTCTTATTAAACGCCTGCTGGGTACCAGGCGCTGCCTACTCAAGGCGCCGGAGGCCGTGACCTCTCGACATCATATTCTATGGGGCGAGGGTCAGACAGTGCACAGGTGAGCCCAGGATTGAAGCGGACCGTTTCAGAGACTGAGAAGTCCGCTAGGGAAAATGAAAACACAGGTTAAAAGGACTAGGGCGGCAGGTGGAGGGAGAACGGCTGCAACGGTTTGTAGGGAGGACCTCCAGAGCGGCTGTGAACCAGCCGTAGGAAAGTCTGAGAGAGACTGTTAGAAGGTGGCAGATGAAGACGTTATCTCTGACTCAGGAATCTTCATCCTGGGAGTCTGCAGCCTGGCCTTGGGAGGGGCTGTAAACCTCCAGACTGTGTGTAAAATGTACTGTGTCTGTGCGTATGTTAGAGAGAGAGTCAGCAACTCTCACCAGATTCTGAAAAGTGTCCAGAACCATAGTCAACAACCAGAGATCACAAACCTAAGTGTCTCTTCTGACTGGGCAGGTAACTCAAAGCAGTGAAGTTGTCTGGGTCTAAGATGCCAGGGAGTGGTAGGGACTTTGGAGAACTGGAGAGCAAAGTCTTTTGTGAAGGAAGCCACTGCTCAGCCTCAGCCAGTTGATACTTCAGACAGGAATGCTAGCCCAACATTGTCTGATCTTTCCATTTTTCTATATGAAATCTTGCTTTTACATGTCAGCAACTAATTTAGCTTTTAATGTTGGCCAAGCACAACACTGACTGGCTTTTACCTGGCAGCCAGTTGCCCTCAAGCACCTATGCGCTGATGTGTTAACGCCGGCAATAAGTGCTTCCTGATGCCTCTACAGCCCAGGCTCTGCACCAAGAACAGGGGCCCTGCTCTGGACTGAAGTGTATTTCCTCAAAATCCACATGTTGAAGCCCTAACCCCTAATGTTATGGTGTTTGGAGATGGGGCCTTTGGAAGATCATCAGGGTTAAATGAGGTCATGACAGTGGGGCCCTCATGATGGGATTAGTGTACTTTTAAGAAGAGGCTATACCGGCTGGCTGGCGGGTTAGCTTACTTAGGAGAGTGTGGGCTTGAGTACACCAGGCTCAAGGGTTTAGATCCCCATGAGGGCCAGCCGCCAAAAAAAGAACAAAAACAAAAACAAAAGCCAGAGAGCTTGTTCTCCATTTTCTCATCTAGCAAATAGGAAACAGTAAAAATTTGTCTTCCATTTTTTAAAATCAGTGGTAAAAGCAGTAGACATCTTTAAGAGGGAGGCTTAGTAAATAGGTAATAAAAGCATTAGAAGTTCTGTGTACCTCTGAAGAATGTTTCAGACTGACTTCTCACCCCGCTCCACCACTCTCCTCTCTGTTTTTCCTCCTGTACCCGGTGACCTTGAACCTGTGCAATCCTGCAAATGGACAGTGCTAATCCACCCTACTCTAATCTTTGCCCATGGGCTGCTCCTTTTGCCTGGCAGGCCCTCTGGAAGCTTCGTTTGATCTCCAGGGGCTGGATTCATTATGTCCGTGTCATGTCCTGCATCAGTCACCATTTTTGAGGGCAAACTACAGAAACCCACCATGAAACTAACTTAAGCAAAAAAGGGAACATACTGGCCTATGGTATAGTTAAAAGAACAGACTCTGGCAGTGGATTGCTTGTGTTCAAATCTCGCCTCCACCAGCTGAAAGTTGTGTATGTAGCCTTGGGCAAGCTACAAAACCACTTTGTGCATCAGTTTCTTCATTTGAGTTGTCATTTCTGTAGCACTTAGAACAACGCCTGGTATGTTGTAAGTTCTGTATCAGTGTTTGTTAAGTTAAATAAATAAACCTAACTACAAAATCTGTGTGAAGAGCTTGCTTTACCCATGGGCTCCAGTGATGACATGAAGGCACCAATCTGTCTCTCTCTTTCTCTGTTCGTCTTTGCTCTGAGTTGCGTCCATTCCTAGGCAGGCTTTCTTCTTACAGTGAAAAGGTGGCTGTCAGCAGCTCCAAGCCTCAGCAGCTCCAAGCCTCAGCAGCTCTGCAAAATCCTCAAATTGAGTCCCTTTGACTCTAAAGAAGTTGTGTGCCTCCACACCAAGAGAGAAATACAGTGCTGTGTCTAGCCAGGTGTGGGTCATAAGCTCACTCCAAGAACCAGGAGGGAAGGAGAGGCTGGGGGCTCTCTGGGAAATGGAGAGCCGTTTCCAGCAAAATGCAGGTCACATCACTCCTCCTGTTGGGTCTTTTGTCTTAGTCCTAGCATCTCTCGCACTGAACTGAGTTTGCTTATACCAAGCAGGTGTTCTGGTGCTGTACCCCATGCTCGCAGGTCGGCTGAGGATGCCTTGAGAGCGGGGCCCTCACTTTACACATCTTTGATTGCCCGGGGCCTGGCACGTGCAAATGCTCCATAACTGCTTCTTGAATGGACTCGCCCCCAAACCTCTAGCACACAAAGACATCCTCTTCTGCATCAGACTCCTACAGTTCCACAGGCTGGGCACAGTCCTTGGAAAAATTATTGACGGGAAACAGCCTGCAGAACTGTGATTATTTGGGATTTGTTCTTAATGTTAATGTGCTGCTAGTTCCTTTCTGTTTCTTTAATGGCATTTTGTGCTAAGGTAGTTCAAAGTTCTTTACAGACAGCTAAGTAATTAATTCAACTTCATTAAGGCCAATTAATCCAGGATTAATTATAAATTTGCCCAGAGGAAGTTATTATACTTTGCTCTTTGATTTGAGTTTTGGCTTTAAAGATTCTTTCAGAAGTGAAATGAAAATTTCTCTTTTCTCTGAGGGTATCTGCCTTGCCAGTGATTGTGTTAACCATGTGCCTTCCTCAATGTGTCCCGTACTAACCTCGGAGGGGTTTGCCACCCAGGCCATCAGCTGAACTACATGACATTCCCAGCAGTAAACGACTATGCTAACGCCACATTTAGCGTCAACCTTCTATGATACAAAGAACCATCTTCATAATATATGCACTATCCAGGTACCACCTATGACTTAATTACTATTTTTCTTTAAATTGACCTGCTTTTTGACTTAATGAAGTATTTTCCTGTACATAGAAAACCATTATTGAGGAACAGTGGGATTAGAAAGGTTGGGACAAGTGGAGAGAGAATCAATATGGTGGAATAGACAGTCCACAGCGTCACCCTCTCCCACAATCAACTAATTTACAACTATTAAAAAAGCAACGACAGCCAAGCTGGGGCCACTAGAGCTCAGGGAAGAGGAGGAGAGACCTACAGAGTTCATGAAGGCAGGAGAAGCTACAATGACAGAAAGAAGGGACTGCTCCAACCGTTTCAAACACCAGCAACCTCAAGGCTGGAGCTGGTGAGCGCACAGAGCAAGAGCTGGCAAACGCCACTGCTGTGCCCTTCGGATGAAACTTCTTGGAGGTGGCAGGGGAGAAGACCAGCAAGACCACTGACAGAGTTCCTGTGGACTCACATGGGAGCAAGGAGCCACAACAACTGAAAAAAGGAGCCACTCAGAGGCTGGTGAGTCATTGCAAGGGACCAGTGCATGGCCCGTCCCACGGGAAGTGTTTGTAGTACAGGCGGTGAGAGAGACAGGCCACCAGGGGAACACTGGGGCACAGCATGGACAGCTGATCTGCCCCCCAATCAGTGCAGGCCCACTCAGTGGAGACTGGTCAGGAATATAGAACTGCAAGGGGTGCAGTTTGCTGAAAAGTGTCTGGCCCAGACCAGAGTTTCCACACAACCCAGGTGTACCAGACCTCATGAGAACCAGAAGCACCTATAAAGTCAACCATTAAAACCTGAGCTGCATAAAATGCCTTTCCCAGGGAATCTGCAGTAAAGCAGCAATTTAGCTCAACCACAGGGCTCAAATACTGGTCCCCACAGGAGGTTCCCCCATTTTAGAAGTAAGCAAAGGACAACAAATTAGTTCCACTGCAGAGTTTAAGTGGTGGGAACAGTGAATAATCCAACACAGAACTGAAAGAAAAAACAAAAAAACCCATAGATCAGAGAAAAAGTTCTGAAATTAACCAGTAAAGGTCTAATACCACAAAAGAACACCTGTAAAACCTGGAAGAGCCAGAAGCCCCCTAGGATCCTGAGCCAGAGGAGGGGAGGCCAGGGCCTCAGCTACACCCCCCTGTCTTCTGCATCCAGCCTTGTGGTATCTGCGCCACTGCAGGAAGTCCCCCGGGCCCCCAGCTAGGATGGGGGGTGCCAAGAGGCTCAGCCCTGCCCCCCCCACCTCCACTTCTGTTTCCCACCCCCTTCCCCTCCCACTGCTCCTCAACATCTTTGAATGTAAAATAATAATAAGTTAATTAAAAAAAAACATTATCACTTTCCTTAAATATCCAGGAACAACAAAAATAAATATAATGAAAACAATAGTAGCCTTTGCAAAGAGTCCTTAATAAAAAGAGAGATTAGCAAGTATTGGAAATGGGTTGAAGGCACACTCCACCACCTTAAGACTTACTAAAAGAAAACTAAAAAGGCAGTAATGTTCTCACTATGTAGATCAATGCTATTTAATTTTATGTCTTTGTACCACCAATAAGGTGTCAGCAAAATCATCTCTATCCCCTCTGACCCCAAAATCAGCCTAGGTCTGAAATAATAAGCATGCCCATGAGCTTGGCAATGATTAGAAAGGTGGATAATTCTAAATGCTGGTGAGGATGTGGGAACAGGTGCAGGCAATATGTATATAATCTAAGACCCAGCAGTCCCACTCTTAAGATTATTCTCAGGTCCATTAGCAGACAGGAACAAGGATGTTCACTGCAGCTCCACTGAAGCTGTGGGGAGTTCAAGACCGTGGAGGGTCCTACACTGGAAGGAGAATAAAATGTGGAAGATGCATTGGGTGGGATCCAGGCAGCAGCAGGATTGACGATGTAGAGGAGAGCAAGGAGGAATGAACACACACACACACACACACACACACGTGCAAGTACACACTAATGCACTTGTGTTTTGGATGAAAAGGGTAAGAAAC